GCATGTTTCTTCTCTCATGGATGTTAGTGGTGTGTCTTTGAGACAGAAGCCTGGTTTAGTATTTTCTTATTTTTGGGGGGCCGGGGGTGGGTGTGGAATGGTGGAGGTAGGGTCAGGAAAACCATGAATTTCAAATATGGCATACACATGTCCTTCACCAACCATAACTAGCAGCCAACAGGAACACATTTGCAGCTCCAACTTCTCCCATTTGATCCTTCATTGCCTTGATGGATCCCCTTCCCAATTCTTCTCGTATAGTCAGCAAAGTGTAGATTTCAGTGGGAGAATCGTTCTCAACGTACAATTAGTCTGGATGAAAGAACAACCATCCACGGCACAAGCACATTTCAGATGCACTGCAAGCCCAGTGTTATCTATACAGTTCAAGTTAAAGCCATCAACACAAAGTTGGTTGCACCTTTCCCGCAAACTGCACAGCCCCCCAACTTATTGCCGATGCGGCATTTGAAATGTCCAATTGTACAGCCAAATGTTCAGAATTCACCCCCTGATACTTTGAGATCTATAAAAGGTCTGAGCTTACTTTGGAAAACACTGCGCAATATAGAAACACCTATTTTGCTTTGAGTTGAGGTGTATGTTGGTGATTATGCCCCATTCTGATGGCTTAACACAATCCAACAGAAGAATATTTTGCTAAGCTCTCCCACCAAATTCTGAAGTCAACTCTCGTTACATTCTTTGTCCCCATCCAGAAACAAGCAGATGATAAAATAATTTAAATGATCGTCTCCATCTTGGTCAGTAGATGTTTTACTCCAGAAACTTTAAAAGGTGATTGAGAAATTTGGAACTGCATATCAAATCCCAACAAGGAATATAGATCTTAGGCAGCAAAAAGAAAGTGTACTCAAGCTTTTATAGATCAATAACACAGACATTCAGATGAAATTAGAGTTTAAGATGATTCTGATATATAAATTTTTTTTTTCTCCTTTTAAAGATTTGTTCCCATGTAACTGATTTAGAGTGTGTTAATAGGCCAACCATTTAAAGAAGGTCAAAGATATGGCAATTTCAACAGCACAGAACATCAGCCATCTTACCATCAATTTGGCAAATTTGCTTTGGTTTCTGACAATGTACTGATCTGCACTTTAGAAGTCATTTGACTTGAAACAAAAATCACTCAACAGCCCAATTATGTGGACAACTAGTTGGAAAGGCAATTCCTGTCACGCACAATTTCAATGGACAGGCTGAATCAGAAGCTTTTATCTTGAAGATGCTGAATACTAGAACGTCCATCAGGTGGACAAGCCAATAAGTTATGCCCTCGTCTGAAGCAAATTCATACTTAGTGTGTCCCTGCTTTGTTCATGCCAAAACAAAGTTGCTTTTGATATACTGCAGCTTTAAAATAGGCTTTGTTCTCCTAAATAATAACATACACAGCACAAAATTGCCACCTCCGAGATATATACAGGCATTAAAACAAACACCAAAGATCATATTTAAGGATTTTGTGTTGCGCAATCCTCAAGAGTTCCTAATCAGGTTTCTGTACCCCCTCATCTCTCTGGTGGTCACCATCATGGTGGTTCTTGTCATCTTTTGAGGCGAGGTGGATCTGAGAGCCCAGGGCGCTGGATAACGCCAGTAGTCCTGCACTGGCACTGACTGAAGGGATGACAGGAGGCTGCAGGCCAGCTGGTAAGGGGGTGAGTGGCACCGTGAGACCATGGAGGTGAGACAGCTGTTGTGCTTGAAGCTGCTGCTGCAGGAACACAAAAAGGAGGAGACGGTCAGAGGCTGAATCAGGTATGCAAAGGGCGAGGGAAAAAAAAACAACAGGTTTGTTGTTTGGATAGGAGAGCTAAGGCCTCTTCTTTTTAATGCAATATTACACTCATATTCAGGAAGGAATAGCTCTCTCCTTTGATAAGCAGAAATGAGCAATTGATTTATTATTGTGCTGAGCTCTACCAGGCACAATAGCAGATCAAGCACTCAATCCCACTGGCTGAAAACATATCGAATAACAGATGGCACAGAGTGAATCATAAGGCTCCAATCTATTATGAGGGGTTCAGAGAATGTCACGTTACAATGTGCGAAGCTTTAAGCTTTTTATAAAACACGCGAACAATGAGATTTGATTAAAAGCTTGGCAATTCATTCTATGCCATTACAGAAAAGCATACTCACACTGCACAATTTATATTTGGTGTTCCTTTTGAAACACTTACTCTTATGGCTAAGGTTCCTTTTTAAAAGGAACCTGTTTTGGATTTGAGAGTTAAATTGAAACCCAACAGTAGTGATGTCCACGGGAGAATATTAAATTGGCATTAATCATCTCACACTGTATATTATAGGCCACCTTTTTCCCCCAGATGACCCATTTCATATTTTTTTTTTTTAAAAAGATGTAGATTCAAGAGCAGCACCATACAAGGACATTTCTCTCTGTACGTGGAAACAAAATTCCCTCAACTAGCTCACTCGCCTGTCCCTGCTCAAATGTACAGTAGTTTGCCTTTTGCAGTCCTACAAAAGGCCGCATATCAAAACCAACAGCATAGAAAACAGGAGTAAGAGTAGGCCATTCAGCCCGTTGAGCTGACATTGCCATTCAAGGTGATGATTATGATCCTCTTACACCCTCTCCCCAATACCTTGGGGCCCTTTGTTGTTGAGAAAGAAATAGATTTCTCAATAGTAAATTATACAAAGGCTAATCACACTGTTTCAGATTTTTAAAAAAAACTGAAGTTAACAGAGCAATCTTCATTCTTGCCCAGGGTGAAAGATAAAACCAAAAACTGCAAATGCTGAAAATCTGAAACAAACCCAGATGATGCTGGAGAAATTCCACGGATCTGGCTGCATCTGCAGAGTCTCAAATAGTTAACACGTTCTGTAGGAATGCTATTTAATTGGATATCGGTTGAATATTACTGAAATAAATTCCCTCTGCCAAGTCACCCACCACGCTACAGACTTAACTTCATCTGCTTAGCCAAAATTATTCTCATCCAGATAAATGATCCCAAAGAAAGGTGTCCCCATATGATTGGGAGAGCAAGAGTGACAGTGTCAGCACAACCAAGCTTCATTTATTTAGTTCTGACAAAGAATCACTGGACTCTAAGCATTTACTGTTTCCCTCCATGGATGCGGCCAGACCTGCCAAGTTTCTCCAACAGTGGGTGTATATTTCACTTCTAGTACTTCAGCATGCCCCAAAACACTTCAAGCTAGAACAGAAACAGGAGAACAGGACGGATGAATGCATGGTTCAAGAAATGGTGCAGGAGGGAGTATCCCTGAATCACTGGGACCATTTATGGGGAAGGTGGGACCTGTACAAGTGAGATGGGCTGCACCTCAACCAGAATGGGACCAACATCATTGCAGGTGGGTTAGACAGTGCTGTTGAGAAGAGTTTAAACCAGTTCAGCAAAGCCAGGGGACACTGTGCATCAGTTTACTAGTGACACATCATACCATAGATAAGAGGCCTAGGCAAAGGACTGGAGGACAGCTAATGTGGTTCCATTTTTCAAGAAGGGTTGTAGAAATAAACCAGGGAATTCAGATCAGTGAGTCTCTCATCAGTGGTGGGAAAATGATTAGAAAATAATTCTGAAAGAAAAGGGAATTAATCTCCACTTGGAGAGTTAAAGTTTGATCAGGGATGGTCAGCATGGCTTTGTCAGCAGGTAATGCCTAGCAAATCTGAATTTTTCAAGGTGGTGACCAAGTGTGTACTTGGAGGTAATGCAATTGTCGTAATTCATGTATTTCAGCAAAGCCTTTGATATGATCTCACATGGGAGACTGATAAAGAAGTTAAAAGCACACGGGGTCCAAAGTAATTTTGCAGGTTGGATCCAAAACTGGCTTAGTGGTTGGAGACAGAGGGTGGTGGCAAAAGGCTGTTTGTGTGACTGGAGGTTGGTGTCAAGTGGTCTACTGCAGGGATCAGTGCTGGGTCCCTTATTGTTTTTATCATAAACAATATAGATGAGAAAGCAGGAGTGGTGATAAGTAAGTCTGCGAATGACACAAAGATTGGCCAGGTGGTTGACAGTGAGAAAAAATGCTTTAGGATGTAGACAGAATGGTCAGATGGAATTTAGCCTGAAAAGTGAGAGGTGATGTGCTTTAGAAGAACTAACAAGACATGCGAGTACTCAAGTGAATGGCAGGACACTAGCAAGCTCAGAGAAACAGAGGGATCTTGGGGCGCTTGAAGGTGGCAGAACAGGTTAATGGGATAGTTATAAAAGGACGGATGTGACACTTGCCTTTATCAATTGTGGCAAAGAATAAAACCAGCAGGGAGGTTATGTTAGAGCTATAGAGAACTTTGGTTAGGCGACAGCTGGAGTACTGCATACAGTTCCAGTCACAGCACTGTTGGAAGAATGTGATTGCACTGGAGTGGGTGTAGCATCCTAGCTGTTGAAGAGAGGCTGGGTAAGCTCAGGTTGTTTTCTTTACAGCACAGCAGGCTGAGGGAGGACCTGACAGAGGTGCGTGAGATAGTGAGGGACGTGGACGGGGTTGAAAGAAAGCAGCTGTACTCCTCAGTTGAAGAATCAATAACAAGGAGACAAGTTTTGAAATGAAAGGCAGGAAATTCAGAGGGGATTTGAAGAAAATATTTTTCACCCAGAAGGTGGGAGAGGGTGTAGAATGCACCTCCTGGGAGGGTTGGAGAGACATGAAAGCTCAACCTTTAAAAAAGTATGTGGATGAACACCCGATGTATTGTAACACTCGAGGCTATGAGCAAGTGTTGTAAATTGGGACTCGTGTAGATTGAGCGTAGTTTAGTTGGTGCAGACTCATTGGGCTGAAAAGCCTCTTCAGTACGATTTGATTCTATGACTCTGTGAACGTGAGAAATAGGTGTAAGCCATTCAGCCTCAAGTCTGATCCACCCACCTGCAATTTACAGCCTTTTAAAATATTTAAATGTACTGAGTTGGAATATAATAAAAGAGATCTTGTGGTGCTGTGGTAATGTCCCTATCTCTGGCCTAGACACGCCTGAGTTCAAGTCCCACCTGCTCCAGGTGTGTCATAACAGAGTCATAGAGTTGTACAGCATGGAAACAGGCCCTTCAGTCAAACTGGTCCATGCCGACCAGATATCCTAAATTAATCTGGTCCCATTTGCCAGCATTTGGCCCATATCCCTCCAAACCCTTCCTATTCATGTATCCATCCAGATGCCTTTTACATATTGTAATCGTACCAGCCTCCACCACCACCTCTGGCAGCTCATTCCATACACACACCACTTTTTGCATGAAAAAGTTTCCCTTTAGGTCCTGGACAGAATGCTTTTTTTATAAAAAAAACACAAAAAGAACTCAGAAACGTGAGGTGCACCAGAGTGGCAGCAGGTGTGAACGCAACTGCATCTGATTCAGGAAACCACACTTTAGCAAGGATGTAAAGGCATCGGAGAGAGTGTACAGAAGCGATTAAGACCATAAGACACAAGAGCAGAACTTAGGCCATTCGGCCCATCGAGTCTGCTCTGCCATTCAATCATGGCTGATAAGTTCCTCAACGCCATTCTCCCACTTTCTCCCCGTAACCCTTGATAATCAAGAACCTATCTACCTCAGTCTTAAATGTACTCAATGACCTGGCCTCCACAGCCTTCTGCGGCAGTGAATACTGTAGAATTCCACTGATTAACTCGAGCAGTTCAAGGAACAAATTTGAAGTTAGATTGAAGAAATTGGGACGGCCTTCCTCGGCAAAAAGGCAGCTAAGAGGAGACTTTATGGGGTATTCAAATTCATAGGGCGTCTGGCAGATTAAATATTGCCAGAAACTGTTCCATTAGTGAAAGGATCGAGAATAAGCACATACCTATTTGAAGTAAGTGGCAAAAAGAAGCAAAAGCAATAGGAGCACAACGTTCACACTGAGTAGTTAAGGTCTGCAATGCACTGCCTGGCAGTGTGGTGGAGGCAGACTTCAAAAGGGAATTAAACTTATTTGAAAAGGGAACAATGTGCAAGATTTCAAGGAAAATGGTATTAAGTGAATTGCTTATTCAGAGTCAGCACACATACTGTGGACCAAATGGCCTCCTTCTGCATGGCTACAGTGCCAAGGTGACCCACTCCAACCAGTCAAAGTGTGTCTCCACAACAATATGAAAGTGATAAATTATAGAATCATCAACGTTGTAAAATACACAGGTCCTACAGTGTAAATAGTCAACTTACACCGGATTTGGAAACATTGGACAAATCACCTCCCAATAGATCTTTGCTGTCTCTTGCAAGAGAAGGAAACAAGACTAATAACATGCCATGGTCAAGCAGCCAGCATATTGACCCACAGGCACATGAGCAGCTGCTTAGTGGAGGGTGATGGCTGAAGGAAAGGCAGCCCAGAAACAGCCAAGTGCCAATTTAGAAGCTATTCCCTTAGAGTGATCATGCCTTGTGCTTCAAATGGATGACTTAAGTGGGGCAGTATGGTAACAGGCAGTTGAATTATCATGAGGAGGAGACTTACTCAGCAATGCTTTTTTTGGAGGACTTCAAGTAAGGAGGCTGAAGTATGAGGCAAGGTCACAAAGGAAGGAAGGCGTCTTCTTCTGCCAGTAAGTGTTAAGGTAAGTCTCCCAGAGATACTGGCTGCTCTCACTTTCCATCAAATACTTAATGTCAGATTATCTAAGAGCATTAGGGAGACATTTTAAAAATGTAAAGCATTTAAAAGCTGCATGACGAACGTGCATTCTCTGGAGGTCCTAAATTCAATCCTCCAGCCTGTACTGGGTCAGTTTGCCTCATTGAAAAATTCCAAATCACTACAACATAAGGCATAGAAACAGAAGTAGACCATTCATCGCATCCAATGAGATCAAGGCAGATTGGATATCCTCAACTCCACTTTCCTGCTTTTGCCCCATAATCCTCAATTCCATCACTGATTAAAAATCTCTCTCTGGATGGGAATAAAGGAGGCAGGAAGAAGAGGAGAAACAGCCAGGGCTCTCACACCTGGTTATCAGGTTTGACTCCTACGAGGATATTAGGGAGGGCAGGCCGAGACTTAGCTGTGGTGTTCTGTGTGGTTGAATACTTGAGCAACATCACTTGGGCTAGACACCAGAGGCAGATAGTGCTAACTGACGGAATTGTTACTTGTTCTATAAGGAAATCAGTCCCCTCTGGAAGAATTAGGGAAAATTGCGAATTTATTGCTAGTTTGCATTGTTACAAGTAACTGCTTAGGTTGCTCCAAGCACCCCCCAACCCCCGACCTCTCAACTGCACGTTTCTCAAACCATCTTTTGGCATTACAAACAGCCTTTGAAGTATAAATCAAAGAGTGAACCAGGATTCTGATACAAGCCTTATTGCTGGGCTCAGTGACAGTGTGCGCACATATGCAGATGAATAAAGTGGACATACCCTGATGACAGTATTAAGCTCTGGTGCAGTCACCTGCTTTGCACGTTCTATGGCCTGTACCACCTGTTGCTGATGCTGAAATAAAAACAAAAGACACAAATATAGTTAAACCACGGCCTTTCAAAATGGAGAGATGGTGAGCACTAAGCATTATTTTACAATTCAAATCAGAAGCCGAGCTACGACACCATGAAAAGTTAATGACTCTTGCATTGGCACCACGGTTTTAACACAGTCAGTCAAACTAAACTAAAATGCAGTTACCTCCTGAGACAAGAAGGGGATGACTTGAGCACAAATTCCATTCAATCGTTTGACAATTTCAGCCTATGTGGAAGAAAGGAAATATTTAGTTCATTTCAAACACATTTACAACCGCGTACCAATCGTTTTTGTTGCAGTGTGTCTGTCACAAATCTCAATAGGTTTTGCGTAACCGAATAAAATTCCCACCCAAGGCCACGATGAGAGACTGCACTGCAGCAAACCTAGTGACAGCTTTAATAGCAAACAAGTTTAACAAAATGAAGATCC